GTGTGTATGTGCGCGCACCACAGGTATATGAAGAGGGAGGAAAAACAGGCCTAAGTTTATATATGGAAAAAGGAGACATCTTCTATATAAAAAGAGGAAGATTTTTGGTGGATATGTAATAATTAATAATTGTTTTTTTTTATTGCGAAGTTTGTCTTTATATTGTTATTATTGTTCTTGTATTTTATTAATTAAATAGTAATAAATAGAATTTCTTCGCAAACTTCCACATTTGTGCAACATATGCAAAATATGGACATATGTAAATGGCATATATTTATCTTCAAAGTACAATATGTGCATTAAATCTAGAAGATCTAGTATATGTATCTAGTATATATATACTAGTATGTGTGCACGCGTGCGTGTGTATGATGAGTATTAATATATTCAAAGTTATAATTAAAATAAGTATGAATTAAAAATCTAAAATGTTTAATCAAAATCATTTACAATAATCTCATGATATATAATAAATTCGTTAGAACAAAAAATAAACTACAATAATATCAATCAATAATATCAAATATATTAAATTGTAGTAATATCAACGATAATATAATTTTATATAATAATTTCAGATCTCAAGTAAAAAAGATAGCAATTTGTTTAATATATATCACATATCATGCCCTACATAACATATACCGCTTATTTTTTCTTAATATCGATATTTTTTCATCTATTTTTATGATAAATATTTACAAGTTATATTGTATCATACATTAATGTACATTAGCTTGAGATTAATTCGAAGAGGAATTTCCATCAATTACAGTTGGGGTTTCTATAAAACCTTCATCATCATCATTGCGGAATGTATCAAATACTAAAACAAGTTATTTGCATAATTAAACATTGATTTAAAATTATCATATTAAAATATTTCAAACATACCCATAGTACGAGAAAACGGTTTGATATATAAAATCATTAATAAACCAAATGCTGCGGATATGCCACAGACATATGTAAGGATGTCTTTATAATAATAACCGGCATAACCGGATGAAAAATGTCTGAAAAGTACAATTTGATAAGTTTCTTCTAATTTATGTTCTTTTCAAATAAGAGAGAATTTTCAAATAAGATTGAATTTATGTTTTAAATATATATTAAATACTAACTTTATTAAATATTGAATCAGCATAACTACCAAACCATTGCTGAGTTTATCAGTAAAACTCATAATTCCATAGGCAAAAGCACCACTCTCAGTATTTTTTCCTATTAAATCTGAAGTAACACCAAGACTAGTCACTAACATTATTGCACCAGCAGAACCTAAAACATTGCAAATTAGCAAAACATTTTTAAATTTTATAAATTTATGAGATTATACAGTTTATAAAACACTGTACAATATTAAAAAAACATATACATGCACACATATATAATACATGCGCACATATTAAAAAAACATTATACATTATACTGTTTATAAAACACTGTACAATATTAAAAAAAATTATTTACCTAATAACATAGCTACAGCGTAAATCTGATATTTGGTATATATATTACCATTACCAAATTGTATCCATATACAAGCGCATATGGCAAACAAAGCACCGATAGAATACGCAACTTTTCGACCCCATTTCGTATTAAGTTTCTCTATGATCAAAGACGTTAAAAAACTACTTAAATACATTGTCAATGGTATATAAGCCAGAGACGTTGCAGGCATATTCAATGACTCATGTAAATATAAAGGCATATAAATTTGACACAGATTAATAAATAATCGCGTAAGCATGTAGACGCATGCTACTTGATACAATCTGGCATCTCTTAATAATACTGATGCTGTTCTGGTATTTCTATGTAAAAAGCTACCTAAAAAAATATAAAATTTATTACATACACATACATATACACACATATATATATATATATATTACATACATATTCAATTGTTTTGTTACCATTAGTATTGCCATTAGGACTTTCTTTAACGATAACATGGAATATAATGGATGCCACTAATCCAATTATTACTCCAATTAAAACAACTTTCTGAAATTTATGAATATCACCAGGCCCAATTTGAGCATCATATTTATCACTTGTTACATGTAATACACCCCACATAATACAGTAAACAAGAACATTGGAGAAAACAGTAAACGAGAATCTGTTTAAGATTATGACAAGTTTAGTGATTTTGTTTATATATGTATATTATTTTCATTAAATAAATATCACCTATTTTTTTTCAATGACAATTACCTTATAGCTATAAGTTCAGTCCTTTCGTGCTCAGCAGGTGTAAGCTCTGGGACTAAGGCCAAGTGCGATATTTGTACTGCTGCCCAACCAAATTGAAAAATCACTACAAAAGCAGCGTAATAAACTAATTGTGCATATTGATGTGCACTTTCGCAGCCTATACATTGCGAAAATATAAACGGGAATCCCAATAATACACAAATAGTGCCTGCAAAATAAATATTTATTGCAGTATTACGAAAGAAAGAAGTATAAATAAGCAAACTCATCGAGAACAGATTCTACAAAATGTTTGTTGCAAGTCTTGTTGACAAAATTAAGATAAGACAGAATCTGCCAATAAAATATTAAAGCAGACTAACTATAATCTAGCAGGGAGAATTTACCACTTTGCAATTAAATATATAGTTCAAATAATTACAAAGTAATACATTCTATTCAATTTCTACTAATCTACTGTCAAACCAGCAGGAGCTGGTTTGACAGTAGATTAGTAGAAATCTGCTAGCAAAATATGAACTTAATGCAGATACACGATCAATCTATTATCAATATTCTATTTGCATCTGCTAATAAACTATTAGTATTTTATCAGCAGTTTGATAACATATCACTAGTATTTTGCACATTGAATAAATAACTAGATTTAAGTGCATTTAAGTGGACAAGATAAAATTAAAAATAATACCTAATAAGTGCCAGGTCTTTCTTCTGCCATATCTGCATAACCAGAAATCATCGTTTCTATCGGATTGGAAACCGACGAACGGAGTTACCAAGGCATCCGCCACCTGACCGATGAGTAATACAACGCCGGCCAGAGTCGGATCAAATCCTAGCACGAGATGAAAAAAAACCAGCAGATATGTGAACCACATGGAAGCGCATATGTCATTCAATACATGGCCCGTGCCATAGGCTAACTTCAAATAAACAGGCAATTTCCTTATTATCTCCGCATAATCGTCCGTCGAACTCGCACCAGGTTCCATCGTGACAGATCGTTACTGAGCATAAATAGCAGGGTTCTATCTCTTTCTCTCGGAAAGCACGACTTATCTTAATTATAAAGGGCATTGTTACAGCGTCATCGATGAGTCAAGCCTTACCGTGCATCCGTAATCCGGCTAACCGAGATAAAAAACGTTACGACACGACAAGTTATCGTCGTTACGACGTTTTTTTTTTTGTCGTATATTACGGTGTTACACGAGCTTTTATCGGCTTATTTTCCTTTTACTGAAGTCAATGGTATTCAGATGGAATTCAAGATCGAAGAAACAGACAACTTAACCTGTCAATTGCCGTCTCGCGAGCGTCATGTTATGTCACTGTGTACCTGCTTATGACCTCATTATTTTGACAAGCACGAGCAATCATGTGACTCATTTTCACATGCCTACACATCTTTATCATTATAAACGAATATGTATGATAATGTAATCGGAGAATTTTGTCTGCGCTCTTTAGATTTAAATTTCTATCGTACTTTTCAGAACACAAGGTTATGCTCTTTTCAGCTATGCTAAAATTTCATCGTATGAAGCAAGAAAGAGAGAGGGAAGAATCGATCCAGTAAACACCCACTAGCAATAATATTATAATTTTTCATTCAACAACATAATTATTATACAATATTGATGTTGTAATTTCCCACTCAACAAATGTAAATGCAATATAACACATATGTTATTTTTTTTCTAGAGCAAAAATTTTAAAAAAGAAATTTTAATTAATATACACAGTATAGATCCCAATTTATGTAACTGAAAGAATAAATACTATCATAATAATACTATCATAATAATTTATTAAATCATAATAATATATGTAACAATATAAGCAGAATATAAGTAATTTAAACTTGACTGTAGTATACAATTATAACCCATAAATAAAATAAATTTCAATATTGCAATGAAATTATTTTTACGAATTTTCTCTATCATAATTTTCTTACATCTATTTTGTTGTTTCAGCTATACTGATATATAATATTATACACTGACTTATGGAAATATGATATACACATATGTGACAGAAAATACATCTTCCCTTTTGTGCTTATAAAAAACACTTGGGAACTCAGATATTTCATTTAGGGATGCGTTCCATTTAACACAATGCTCACAATCATCGTTTGCTCCTATTTAACATTTAATGAACAATAAAAATGAAATGAATCTGAAAGCATTATGAGCATTAAGTTGAATGCACCTTAAGTTATATATCATACTTTTGAAGAACAACTCGATTGTAGGATAAATTGTATATATAAGTGATCATACTGTATATATAACAATTTTATTGGTTACAGTTTTAAAATAAAAATTTCAAACTCGGATGTTCTCTAGATATACATTATTACAAATGCTCATTAGCATTGTTGTAACATCTGTTAGTTATTTGCTTATACACTTAAAGATGATCTGGAATTGAGATAAAACTGATGACCTGAGAACAGGAAAGTGAGGACATAGATGCATGCAGCAATCCAGCAGTTATATGCATTCTGTGTATAACCTCGATCCACGACATCATAGAATTGTTCTACTGTAGTGAAATTGCCTTCTAATGGAATGTCCTCCACCAATGCTACACTTCGGATGTAGAAGAATATTCCCATAAAAAGCTGAGGATAAAAAAGTAAATAAAATGCTAGCAATTTACTAATAGACTTCAGCAAAATATCAAGACTGATTGTCATCGTTAGCATTTCTATTAAGTTTTATCAACAATTTCTATTATATTTTATCAACAAAATCTATCAACATAATCTAATGGCTAGAAATGAAATAGAAAATATGCCATTTTTTAATCATTTAAATAATTAAAAATGACAGATTCTACCTAACTTCCTCCATTTTTTTAGCAAATTTCATTACATTCGTAACATTCTGCCGACGATAGTAGACATTTTGTAAAATCTGACTACCTAATAAATTCGAAGTTAATAACGTAATCTTTAATCTATAAATGATTTTTCTTTATATATGTAAATATATTTATAAAAGCACTCTCGCTCACCAGTTGGAATATGCCCCAAACCGACAACACTAGACCGCACAAGGCGTACTTAGGCCCGCAGATCTTCATCCTAACTGATGAAATTGTCTGTACAAAATGATGTCCGTCGCTTTGTATGAGTTTTCAAAAATCAATTGCCAACTGCAAAAATCGATCCCAAATGCCGTATTTGCGTATCACTTTCGGCCGATCGTCCGCCTCGTGATAATCCACAGTGTGAAGGTTTGTAATCATGTGACGTTCAGCAATCTCGATAGCTCGCCTATGCCTGAGAACGATATCGATAGTTCGTATCACATTTACTTTTTTGTACTGTCGATTTATTGTTTTTGGGGACATGGAAATAATTGGAAAAGTATTTTGATATTTGTAAGTAATAACAAAATGTAAACCTTTTGATTGCTGATAAAATTAAATATTAGAATAATGTATTATTAAATTCATTTGTAAAATACTAATGCTTCCTAAATAAATATGCATATTTTTGACTCTATAATAATATAAAAAAATCTTCATCTATACTGCCATAAAATTTTTTTCTACATTTATTATTTATATCACCAGCACACATCAGAATAGAATTTTATCGGCAGTGTCAAAAAATGACAATGGGCATTTCCAGCAAGGGATACAGAAGGACACAGTCTAACACAGTGAATCATTTCATCCTTGTTTAACATTAACAAACAACAAGGATAAAATGATTCACTGTGTTACACTGTGTCAACTGTATCTCTTGTTGGAAAAACGCCTAATATCTACTTAATTCCAATATGCTAAAATCGAACTTTGGGGCGCTAGTGTACAGCGGTTTCGACGGCCCAGGATGGCCGCTCTCAGATCTCTCTCTGTATATATGTTGGATGTGATTCATGTTTCCTGCTGTTGTCAACCCTGATTCATAGGATCATGGTCGACCGACTGGGTTAGTTCGCGCTTCGTTTATCGGCATTTAATTAATTTCGCGTATCTCACGCAAAGGGTGAGACCGTCAGGCACCGTGAACGACTTGGAGGCACCGCGTGTTTCGTCGATCGCGAACGAACGGACGCGGATGACGCGCGGCCGTCTCATTTTTCTCGCATATTCGCGCGCGGGGGCTAACGGTCCATGGGCTATCAGTTCGTGGGCCGTGTACTTTTTGACAGCTCCGAGCGATAATCGCGGCCTGTTTATCTGCTCGCTCCTTCCTTCGCTCTCTTTTCCTCCCGTTACACTTCCGCATCTCGAAACGACACGATGTCACGCGAGAAAAAGAGATAGAGAAGAAATAGGGGTGTGAAAAGCTTAGCTGGACGAATCACGAGCTTTGACGTGCCTCGGTGTCTCGAACGTTCTCGCTTGCAAACGTGGGTGTGTTGCGACATACGGACAATCGTTGTTAATCTTTTCTTGCCCCTCCTTGGGATTTGATCTGTTGTAGTAAACAGCGAGGCCAATGCCAGGCGTATTGCGATGGTTGAAAACTGCTTCGGCGGTTCGGGTCAGGTAAGAAAGATCCATCCGGGTGAAATTGTACATGAATTTTTTAAATATTTATCTCAAATATTAACTTGTTTATGAATGATTTCTCTGCTTCCTGCAGCCACTCGCGGTACCTGGTCGAGTCCTGGTGGGTGAAGGTGTCCTGACGAAAATGTGTAGGAAAAAGCCTAAGCCGAGACAGTTCTTTTTGTTCAATGATATATTGGTCTATGGGAACATTGTAATTAACAAGAAAAAGGTATGTATGTGCATGAAAAATAGCATTTATTTTTTTGCAGACAAAATAGAAAATAAATTCTGTATATAAGCAACATGTAAAATGATGATTTATTTATAGTACAACAAGCAGCATATAATACCATTAGAGGAGGTAAAATTAGAGTCTCTAGCAGATGAAGGTCGTAAGTATATTTTATTATTTTGTACAATTGTACATATATTAAAACCTCTACTATTGTTTGTATTATATATGGAATATTTTAAAAATGTCTTTAGAAAAATTTGAAAACTCATGCTAAAATATATATTATATTATTTTATTTTAACTTTTAAATTTTACTATCAAATTATAGAAAAACTCAGTAGGAGTCCTTATCAAAAAATAAATTAAGGTTTTGAGATTTATTTTTTCATGAAAGGTTTTATCTTTGAAAGAAATAAGGATGTACTTTTTACTGTAAATAGAGTTTCATTTATTTCATACAGCACAGGGGTCAATAATCAAATGAGGCGATATATATATATATATATATATATATATATATATATATAGTAGTAGATAGGAAATATTAGTATAGTATTGGATCGTATTTATTAGAATATCGTAAACTGGATGGCTCTTAAGACAGTAACAAAGCGTTTGCGTTTATGCTGCTACTCCAACAGAAAAGCAAGAATGGATGGCACATATCACAAAGTGTATCGAAGATTTGTTAAGAAAGAGTAAGTAAAAACTAATTTGTTATAAATATTCATATTTTCCATGATAAAACTATTAAATTTTGCACATATACAATTAATTCTTCTTTATCTTATCTTTCGTTTTTCTTTTCTATTTTCTTTAGGTGGCAAAAAACCTGTCGAGATTCATGCAGCAGTTTGGGTACCAGATAATGAAGCTACGATTTGCATGCACTGCAATAAAACACAATTCACAGTATTAAACAGACGGGTAATGACATTTTTCATAATTTAATTAATTTCAAGTAATTACTGAAAAAAAAATTAAAACAACTTGATCTTCATTCCAGCATCACTGTAGGCAATGCGGAGCGGTAGTCTGTGGTCCTTGCAGTAATAAAAAATTATTACTGCCAGGACAAGGAAATGGGAAAGCCGTCAGAGTTTGTCTACAGTGTTATGATGCAGCTAGTAAAATCAAAGCTATACCTACGACTGCTGTGGATAGCTTAAATAATAAAGACCCGCAACGTAATTCCGCTGATAGTTCGGGAGGAGACAGTTCTGGAGACGACGATGATGGAAATAAAGAAGAGAATCACGATGAGGTATTTGATAGATTTATTTCCAATAAATCCAATGCTATTTATCTAAAAGTTCATTAAAAAATACATTAATCTAGTCTTTTATTTATTTTATTACTCTTTATTTTAAGTATAATGAAAGAATTTTTCTTTTCTTACAGCCTAAATTCTATTCCACCCTTGGCCGATGAAAATAATCATATATCATACCGAACAATACGAAAGAGAAATACAATTCTACAACAAAAAAAATATTTTTAAAAGTCAATATTGAATTATATTATCAACAATAGGAAATTAGGATTTTTTATAGAAATGTCTTTTGAAAAATATTTCTAGACGATATCGAAAAATTGAAAAAAAGAGATAAACATGATGTGAAATTACGCCAAAATTTTTAAAACATTAGATACATGTATCTAATTTACATTTTGCAATTTTTATTAATAAAAATATTGCATTTTATTAACATAAAATAAAAAATTATTGAATATGTACAGATGACTGAAAGAACAAAAAAAGTACCAATTTTTTTTCTAAAATACTAGAAATGCGCAATTAGTTGATAAAAATATGTAATTGGTTAATACAATTACATCAATATATATAAGTTATTGATAATCATTAATTAGATACCTTTTTCAAATTTTTATTGATGTATGTATATGAAGAGTATATGCCACGTTGTGCCTTTTTACATTATTGATCAATATCGAATATTTAAATGTAAACGACATAACATTTAATATAACGTAAAGAATTCGTTTTCGGAATACAAAGTTTAACTTTTAATCCATACATTTCTACTTATTATTGCAAATACAAATAAATAGAATACATAGCACTCCGGACGTAATACTTGTGAATAAAATGTTGTATTATTATAAATTTAAGAATTAAGCATTTGTTATTTAATGACACCACACTAATCATTTTTTTATAGGACAATAGTGATCAAATTATAATTACATAATTTAATATAATTGATAAGAATCTTAATAAAAAATGTTTATTTAAACATTTTTTAATTCATAAGATAATATCGTTCCATATCTAAACTATGTTGATGTAAAATCAGATAAAGGAGTGAAAAATATAATTCGTATAAATACCATTTCTAAATATTTTATAAAAATTATTTTGTAACGATAATGTTGACCTATAGTACAATGATATAAATAATTTCACGAATTTATTAGTATATAATGTATAAATACATAAATATATTATAAAAATATACAATAAATTCTATTATGCAAAATAGATATTAAAACCTTTGTTACATGGTACGTGTACTGTTATCTTTTTTTTGTTAGGAAAATTGTATTACTATAGCGCATAAGTATATTTTCAATCTTTAATTTTTCTTCATATAAATTTTTACTTTTTACTATAAATCTTTAATAAAAGTTATTTATTAACAATTTTATATTGTCTCTTATTTGACATCTTATTCTAAAACTGTACAAACTATCTTTAAAAAAAAAAAGACGAAAACTACATTCCCATATTAGCATACTAAATTATATTCACACGAAATATTATACATTAAATGTAAAAATTTTTTGCATTTACGTCATTCATGATATTAATGATATTAATGAATAATTAATATATAATATTGAATAATTAATATATAATATTGAATAATTAATATATAATATATAATATTATCATGATTAACAAATGCAAAGAATTTAATATTTAATGTAATATTGTATGTGAATTCGGTATGATGATATAAAAATGCATAATGTTCTGTTTTTTTAAATAGCTTGTACAATTTTAGAACAAGGGCCTACGCACAATAGAAAAAATATTAGGAATAGAAATAAATATTGAATTTTAGAAATAAAAATTCAGAATAAAAATTAAACATAACGCACAATGAAATATAAGATATGATTATATTTTATACTTATTATATTTATTGTGCATTAAACTTAATTTTTATTCCAAATTTATTTATTTTCAAAATTTAATATTTATTCCTGTTCCTAATATTTGTTTCATTATGCGCAGGCCCTAAGATGTCAGTAAGGGACAATATAAAATTGTTAAATAAACTGATTTTCTTAAAGATCTATAGCGGAAACTGAAAATTTATATAAAAAAAATTAAAGATTTCAATATATTTATATCCTATAATAATACAATCTTCCTAAACAGTAATACATATAAAAGTTTTGATATTAATAACTATTTTGCATAGTAGAATTTACTATATATCTTTTTATACCATATTTATATTGAGAAAACTAGTCTTTTAAACAATTTCATATTGCTTTGTATCGATATTTTATTCTAAGATTGTACAAGTTACTTTTAAAAAATGGAACATCATGCAATCTCATATCAGCATGTTGAATTATTCACATGAAATAATATATACATTAAATGTTTTATTTGTTATTCATAATATTAATGAATAACTAATAAATTAAATGAATTCTCAAAAGCATTTGCTATTTTTCTTTCTTTCTAAACTTGTTCAATTGTCTAATTTATTGCAAAAAATTTATAAATGAAAAAGTATTTTCGTTTTTCTCTTTCATTATTCAATTTCATTTTCTACATAATTATTTTGTAACTTTGCCGTGATAGAATTACTGGTTTCCAGTAATTTCTTATAACGTTCTACCAAATCGCTAATGGATCGTCTTCTCGAACTGGTTTCATGTTTCACAACTGTACTACTTTCTTCATTAACAAACTTCACTTCTGTAAATTCGTCCAGTTCAGGTTTATTTACTTTGATCTTTCGATTGAATTTATCTTCTGCTTGTTCTTGAGACACAATTCGTGATATGTTTCCTTTTATCGGCGTGGCTTGTACGGATGAATAAGAAACTTTAAGAGACTCTTCACTCCAATTAAAGAACTCTTTCGCTATGGTATCTAAATGATTCGACGAGCATTTCTCGGACATTTCTTCTACTGCATTTGCAATGGCAGAAGAATTAGCTTGTGTGGTAGATGGCAGAGACATCATGCTAAAATTGGCTGTATAAATATATATATAAATTTTAATTTTATATCTTGTTTATATTGAATGTTCGGATTTTGGGTTTAAATTATTAATAAATTTAAGGCATACGCTGTTTTATTATTTTTTTAAAATTTTATAATACAATTAAGCATGCTATTTAAAAATCGTTATTTCGAACATAATTTTATTTAATAAGAGGAAATTTCTAATATTTCTACTATGAAACTGCGAAAATATTTTCTTATAAGATTAATTATATATTATTATATATTATATATTATATTAATTATATATTATTTAATCTTTCGCAATTATAGGAAGTTAAAAAATTTTCTTTTATTAATATTTAAAAATTTGATATATTTAAATATTATGTGATGTTAAAAAATCTTGAAATAAAAAAACAATATATATTCATATACACCGTTTTTTATTCATATGTAAACTAAAATGCTTATTCATTACTTTTAAATTGTTATTTAAAAGTAAAACTTGTTTGGACAATTTTGACAGAAAAAAGATTATTTCTTTTAGTATAAATAATTACTATATTTTTGTGTGTACAAATTGGGGATATTTTGCATATATCAGAGCGATTATCAGAAATTATCAAAGTTAAATATTATTTGTCATGAATAGGTAAAATGAAAAGAACTAAACATTATTCTGTAGAAGAAATCATTTTTAATACAATAAAAGGATATATATTTATAAACTTGTAAGTAAAAATAAATATAAAAAAGACTAACAATAATTGGTCTCTTCTACAGCATAACATTTTATTTCATTTTGTTTACTCATTATAAAATAATAATTATATAGTTTAAGTTATTTTTCTTGCTCTATTCTTAAATGCAGATTATATTATAAACATTTTGCAATAAAAGAAATCGTATTTAAATACAAATCAAATAGTCTCTACAAACCTTTTATATTTTTATTCGTACACGTGAAAAATAATCGGGAATAATTTCCTTTTGTTCTCTTATGTAGCTGTTTTACCTTGGGTGTCACAAGACGCATATTCAACCCTTGTTTCTCATTACTATTTGATGATATAGTATCGATATTTACACGCGATATGAATTTCGCTTTCAAATCTGGCGTGTAATTCTGATTGCGCCGCATGTATCTCGAAAATAATGATTTATGTGCAGCTATAAAAAATAAATAAGATAATAATAATCATTTTGGAAAAAAATGCAAAAAATTAACTAAATGTATTAATTAATTAAATATAAAAAATTACAATTTCATAAATTTTGAATTTACCTTCACCCGGAGTAAAATGCAATAATTGCGTGTCGCTTTTTTCATCTGTGCAATTAATGTTAATTTTAATAAGAGGCGATGGCATAAGGAGCACACTTTTTATAAATGGTAATGCATTTTCCTCAGATATACGCTTCATGTTTTTCGCAGACAAAACACTTTTTGTCTCCTCTGTGGAGTTTGTTATACTTGTCAAGAAAGTTTTAAATACATTATACAGAGATTTCATATCTTCTGCACTTGCTTGCACTTGTAGAAGACACTGTGATAGATCCATAAAGTCTTCTTTTCTTAAGCATTGATACACTTGATATAGAATCAAAGTGAGTAAATAAATAAAATTATGATATATCAATTTGTTATCATCATATAAATGATAAAAATGACGCTAAAAGAAAACGTAAAATTGACAGAATATCAAATAGATTCATATCTATAATGTTCATTATTTCTATAATAAATTATGGTTTATTATTATTTATGACTAATACAAGATTGAAGAGATTGTAGTGTAATTATTTATCTGAATGTATATTTAAAACTCTTTACCTGAATATTAGGTGGAAATAGTAATTCTGGTATCCGAGAATAATTAACTTTTTCTAACTGTTTGTTATCCACTGCTTCCGTATCATTCAGTATATTTGATATTATATCACTTGCATTTTTACATATTCTTTCCAAATCATTCAAAATTGCATTCTTTTCTTGTATGTAACGCATATCACAATCTAAACTATTTTTCCACACTAAAACCCACAAATATTAGTTTTACATGTCTAACATAAAAGATTCTTAACAAAGGATATTATACTACAAATTATTATACTACAAATAAATTCTAACTTGATATGATCTCTGTATCTTCAATATTTGTTAAACGTTGCTTTATAGATTCAGCAACAGGAGCGATAGATGCATATTTTGTCACAGATTGTTTTCTATCAAACAGTTCTGTTTTAATTTTAGCCAAGCATTCTTTCTCTTTTCTAAAGAAAAAATGAAAAAAAAAATTAGAAAACTTTTGGTAGCCTGATCTCAACAGATTATTATACTATACTATAAAAATTTAAAAACATTTACATCAATTCAAAATTTACAGCTTTCTCCATTTGTATGTAATTTCTATGGCGACTCGATATATTACAAATGACATTTGCTTTGGATTGTTTTAAATATGTTGTAGTCAAATCATTTGCGAGACCTGATTTTGGTGCAAATGGGACTTCGTATTCACCTAAAATCAAGTATTAATTAAATACATTATTATTGAAATATATAATTCTAATTTTATATACAGATAAAAAAAATTGTAGAAGCATAATATATTTCTAACAAAAAAATTTGTTACAAATTTTATCGACAAAATGTCAGGAAAAATATAAATGAGTTTACTGACAGACTATCAAGATTAAATAGGGTTTATCTTATATATTAATCATGTATATAAATTAAATATATTAAATTTATAACAAATTCTATTTTGTTTGTTAGATTATGTTGATGGGCACTCTAGAACATAAGCTTAATGTAAACATAATTGATGACAATATTCTGTTCAAATCCAACAAAACTGCTAGTACATTTTTCTGAATACTTACCATCATGCATGATATATGTTCTTAGTGCAAGCTGTGACAATTTCCACATTATAGTCATAAATTTAGTACCGCTAGCATGATGTAAATGTGTAGTGACTACACGTGGAAATCCTATATCAGGATTTTCCAATGCAATAACATTTAAATAATCCTTGACATTATTACGATATTTTGTCTCAGTCTTTTTACAAATTACTGGCCAGTCAACTTGCTTTTTGAAACGCTCAGCGTCATGTACTGTCAACAGATAGTGAGAAACGAATATAAATCCTGTAGTATTCGGCTTATCGAACATTCCCTGTAAAACACAATGTTTACCATCCCATTAGACTGTTAATAAAAAGTTGAGGAAAGTAGCATGTACAAGAGAAAAATGCATCGTGAAAATAAACTTGTATCAAATAGAAATGTGTAGAGAGAATGCTTACTTCACGGAAGACTTCTTTGAAGTCATGATCCGGTGGGATTAATTGATTTAGTAAAAGAACATTCTGATGAAAGGACGCGCTAACGGTCATTTTTAGATGCACACTTTCACACCACAGACAAAACTGTTAATTAATATGAAATTATAAATTAATTCATAATGCATCGACTGCGCAATCGAAATATAATTTTCTCTGTCGATAAACAAACAGAAGAATGAACCGCATAACAAAAATTATTGAAAAAACAAACTTGGCAGCTTGTAATTGTACAATTCAAACATATCGAATAGTGACAAGAGAAACCATGAAGACCTCTATCGAAGTAATCATGAATTACAGATTTGTTTGTTTAATCGGATGTTAAGCTAAATGCACAATAAAAAATACAGGAAACAGGAACAGGGAATAGCAACAGGCAACAGATTTTGACCAATCAGAAGCTGTGAAGAATATCGAAGCTATTTCTGATTGATCGAAATCTGTTGCCTGTTCCCTATTCCCTGTTCCTGTTGCCTGTCTTTTTCATTGTGCATCCAGCTTAAATTTTGAAACACGGCCTCTATCATACACACCCGATTTCATAAATTTTCGATACATTTTGGAACGCACTACTATGTATCTAGTCGCACAATGCAAATCACACGCGCATTGCGAATCGCCCATATCAAGCACGAATGAATGTGGTACTGCGACTGACGACATTTTTGTGAGATCACTCTTCGTTTTACGTGTATTTTGTGCGATAGATGAACGTCGGTGTGCTCGGATAGCACATGGTGATTTTCGACGACGATTGAGCGTTGGAGAAAAATCCGTTCGTCAATTAAGATACCTACGGAGGAAACATACGCGCGATCATACGGACATGTTGTCGACTGTCCGTTCCCACGAGATCGCGCCGTGCATGGAGCGTTTCACGGTGGAGTGATAATTCCTCGGGTCGAGAGTGAGAGCAACGAAGACTGTCTCGAAGATTCCCGGTGCGGTGCGTTACGAGAGTACGAGCGCATCCTCTCGGCGTTGCTCAGTGATCGATAAGTCACGCGGTAGACCCGGGGTTCATTCGTGGCGTGGCTCGCGCGGCGCGTTCGTGCGGTTTCTTTACTATGCGGCAGCTCGGCCTACGAGTCTCTCCGCCGTCTCTCTCTCGGTCCCTCTCCGTCGGATGTGCTCCGTAATATATTAATTGACAATTGACGAAGGAAGAAGGCACCATTTCGCGTTCCTGGAACACTCAATCAGAACAACGCGCGCGACAATGGCTGCGACCTTCGATCAGTATGACAAGTCGAGGTGCGTGTGAGAGAATTCCCATGTTTTGATTCATCGAGCGGATCTCCAGCGGGTGTCATGTCCGTATTAAGTATATTGGCATAATGGCGTTTCAAATTGCGGCCGCCCGCAATCTGCCTCGCGATCGTGTCGCATTATGTGTGACAGCTCTTGAACAAATACTCTTGTGCAATTATTGTACTGCACATCTCGGAGCACGGGATAAATCTCTCTAGTCTTTAGTCCGTGCGATACGAGTCATAGTTTGCGAGTATCAACTCCCGGACGACGCAAAGTATAGCAAATTTTCTAAATTTCGGACGTGTTTTTTCCGGACATTTATCAAATTGATCTTTTGAATTATTTGTTCGTGTTTTGGATTTGTTTATCTTAAAGTTCTTTCATTAAGCAATAGTTAAAATTAATTGAAATTTAAACACTTAATGATTTTTTTTCTTTTATATTTTTATCCTGGAGCTAAATGAAGAAAGGAGGCTTAGTCATTTATTTGCTTTAAATTTTATTAGTTATGAAAATAACATTAGCGATAGTAGAGTTTGTTTTATATTTACCATTTGTCTGCAAAAGAAATTTACTATTTTTTCTATTTTTGAAAAATTTAATTTGTTGTAATCAATTGTTTGATTTTTTTAGCTGGTACTTTGGTGCTATGTCACGACAGGATGCATCAGACTTGTTAATGGGTGAAAAAGAAGGTGGTGTATTTTTAGTACGAGATAGTACCTCTATACATGGTGATTTCGTGCTGTGTGTAAGGGAGGACAGTAAAGTCAGCCACTACATTATCAATAAAATCCAACAAGGAGATCAAATTCGATATCGAATTGGAGATCAGATGTTTCCGGATATTCCCAGTCTTCTAGCCTTTTATAAACTTCATTACTTAGATACTACACCATTGATTAGGCCAGCACCAAAGAAAACACAAAGGGTAATTGCAAAGTATGATTTCGAAGGCAATGATTCTGAAGACTTGCCATTTAGAAAAGGTATATATTATCTCTTCAATTCCAATTAATTTATTTTAATTTTTTAATATTAATGAAATATTAATGAAATACTTGTAATGTAGGTGATATACTCACTGTAATATCAAAAGATGAGGAACAATGGTGGACGGCTAGAAATAGTGTCGGTCAAACTGGTTCGATACCAGTGCCGTACGTTCAAAAGTACGACGATGATAGTCATATGATAATAGAGAATAATTCGCGGCCTGAGAGCGGCGGCAGTTCCGGCTCTAATTCGAATTCAGGGCCTACATCACAGGTATCTCATACAGAAACGACAGGACAGGCGACTGTAACGCGAAGATCAAATATTCAGAGAACACTGCCGGCTTTTGCCAAAGTGAAACAGGCAAGAGTGCCGAACGCGTACGATAAAACTGCGCTAAAATTAGAAGTAGGTGATATGATAAAAGTGACAAAAACTAATATCAATGGCCAGTGGGAAGGTGAATTGCATGGCAAAGTCGGACACTTCCCGTTTACACATGTGGAATTTGTAGATAACGAGACTGGTGAAGACAATCAGGAGATTTAACAGAAATTCTCCGAGTGTAATGTGCATCACATGTATGAAAAAGGAAAGAAAGACTCCTCCTATATTATCAAAATTTAGGATTACTAATGACATCTATTATATGTGCCATTTCATAGATATATTTACGCCCAAGTCTGAACAACTATACATTGCTGCATACAATATGCTAAAAGAATAAACCCCAGATTTTTGTGCAATATATTGAAATGTAAGAAACATTTAGAAATTTGCATTTGTTATCTCTGCAGTATGTTAACAGTTTAGTTACATATCAATTTATTATTTTATGTTATATGTTGCTAATTGCCCAAAGCACACAAGCATAATTTTATAAAGATTAGATATATAATACAGTATATATAAACGTATGTATTAATATGATTTTATTTTATTAAACATTAAAATCATACTTCTCCATAAAATAATGAACAAAACGATCTTTTGTATAAAGTGCAGTATTTATAAGATATATACTTTTAAAGGGTTTTAATTTAGTTATTTATATATGTAGCCAATATGTTACATATATATTCTACATTTTTTTATATAGGTATTAATATAGCACTAGTTTAACATTTCACATATATATATAAGTTTTTATTGTTTATTTAGAAATTTATTAGTGTTCAAGATAAACAATTCAGCACAAAGTTCTTTATCCATACTCAATGACCTCCTATCATGAATTTGTTGATTTTATAGATTATATTGATAAACATAATTTATCATTTTTATTTATGAATATTGCAACGAAAAAAAGGCATGCTTCTTGAAATATTTTATTAATAAATAACAACTGTATTCCTGAAGTTATAGAACGTGATTCTATACTGAATATATGATATCTTCTAGTCATAAATGACTATGATAAAAGCATACTATGTATATACTTGCTTGTCATTATTTCATTATTATTATTAATAATTTTGAAAGAATATTCGAGATATTGACATATTTCGAAAGAAGTATAGATGTTCTACGGACTATAAAAAACATCTATGTCATGGTACATATAATATCTGTTAGCCATAGGTTGTGCCACGATTGGAGCAACTCATTGTGCTAGAAAGTTGTATTTATATATAATGATGGAAAGGTTAATTGTATCACAATTGATCATAGTTATACAGGATATTTTATGATTATTGAGAATTATTTTAATAGCAGATTCTTAAGTGAATATTGATATTTGCGATCAAATTTTTACTAAAAATGAATCAATATTAAAATATTGCTAAAATATCAATTAAAATTCTGTTATTAAAATAGAGATGAAACATCTTATGTATTGTTGGGATTATACAATAAATTCTTATACATTGTGTAGTACATACTATTTAAAACAAAAATGTAAACTTGCATTATTGATTATATTTATATTGTTTTATTATATTTTTTCAATATAATTTTAGATCATGATGTTTAATATATTCTATCGATTTTTTTTTGTAATTTACTACATGCATTTGACATTTCCATCATCATCACCATCATTGTCATCATCATTATTATAGTCATAAGTTGCATAAGTTCTCCATCATAATCTTCCTAAAATTGTGCGCAGTATTAAGATAATGAAACCGAAAGTATTCCATATCAATAAATATTACGTTTAGACAAGATTCTCTTCCGTTTAAACATACATATGATAAAATATAAAATAATCGAATGTATTTTTTTTACATCAGTTTTCATATATGAAATAAGGCTAGTTGGATAACAAATAATAGGCAGTTTTTTGGCAGCAAAAATCAAGACATTTAAAAATCAAGCTGTGTGTTGTGTAAGACAAGGTCTGGAATGTGCCATTATGTATATTTTGTCTTTAATTATTCCAATGATGTGGTGCTTAAAAATGAATTTCAGCATAAGACATTACATGGTGATATCAATATACAAATGTTTAAATATTAAGTGATTTACATATACATTTCCATAATAGTTATTCTCGATTGTTATATATATTAATTTGAAGAATTTCTATTATCTGAAGAATCGTAAATTTAATTAATAATAAAATAACATCATGATTATAAATTATTTGAATCATATTTCGACATGCATGATCCATCAAATTCATTTGTACGTACGACATATACACGAGATAAATTTAAATACAACAAGGATATAATAATGTATATTTTTCTAAGCGTATGCATGTTTTTGGTTTTTTCCGACAGGAAACCGACTTCATAAATAAATGATATACAATAAGATTAATAATCATTTAGATAAATATATATTTGTGTTGTAATTTATAATAGATTGTAATAATGTAACGTTCAATTATAGCATTAAATAATAAATAATTATATAGATATCGCTGTTTATATTAATTCTACAGTTAAGGACGTATTTTTTTGCAATTACATCTTCAAGATTTAATTGAGAAATTAATCGAATTTGGAAAATATAATCTTTATTGAAATTATTTTGTAAAAGGCAAAACTTAATGCATTTTATATAGTTTCCATTTATTTCAAACTATACAATTTTAAAAGCATATAGCAATATATAACAATTCAACATAATTTTTCCAAAAATTACGGTACGCTATCGTGCTAATTGCGTAATTAATGCTGCACACATCTCAAAAAATTCCATTGTGTGATGACCTGTTGCTTGCGGAGGCGGTAATGTTGGATCTAAGAAAAATATATATATATATACATATAAATTATATTTGGATATTTGGTCAGTCAGCGAATTTATATTAAAAGATAATTTAGAGAGATACCTCGTCCAATATCCTCTTCTTCATTAGATAAAGACTTAAAATCTAATAAATAGCTCTTATGATCGACTTGATATAATTGTAAGGACATCTTGCTGTATCTATCGGTCAAATTGTTTTTATGTCTTACTCTAACGCTGTACGTATTTACAATCTTCCATTCCTGAAAAAGACAATTTGTGTAATGCTACATTTGAAACAATTAATTATTTCTGCAAAATGCGACCTATATGATTTATCTTACAAAGTTAAGCGCTTTCATAGCACGATAAACTTCATTCATAATGTCGTTTGGTTTGGATTGCGATCTGATTCCTAAATGCCATTTCGCTCTTTTCACGGGTGTACCACGATTGCCTTGTGTTTGTGCGGATGCACTACCTTGCGAACCTTGACGTTCACGGTATGCTATAACATTATTATTATTATTATACAATTATTATTATACAAATATTATACAAATATTATCACTATGTATAAAGAGTGATTAAGATATTTTTTATTTAGTAATCTTTACAAATTTATTTAAAGAAAAAAGTTAGTTTTTTAAAAAAATAATCCTAAAAAACATGAAACATATTTTTGCAAATAATATGTTTAGCGCATTAACGCTTTGACTATTATAAATCTAATCAATAATCTATATAAATCACTTCTTAAGCTATAAATTGACTAATTCTGTCTTTCAAAATTTTCCTATAAAAATATTTAAATACTCATACTTTTTAAGTTACAAGTCCTTTAAAAGTAAATACTTTTAAAAAACAAAATAAATAGATAATAAATTATATTTTTTAATTAATTTAGTAAAGATCTTTTATTTGATAGATCTTTTTTGATAATATTTAATGACAACTGAAAATTTAAGATGTATGACAAAAAAATAAAGCAATTTTTTTATATAATTAATAATAAATAATAAATATAGTATTTTTTGCAATTAATTTTCTGTTTAATTTTGAATATCTATTTGATTCATATTCTTTACATACGTGCAATTCTTTCTGGATGTGGTCTCAAAGGACTGCTGTTTGTTTCGTTTGGACTAAACGCTACTGGTGGAGGGCTAGATGCCACATAAAAGTCTTTTAATTCTGCCTTAGCAGCTTCATCTGCAATTCTCTTATTGTCTATAATTAAATGATAAGCAATCGCCAATTGATCATGTGGATCACCACCCAACAGCGCGGAATGCACTTCTGGTTCTTTCACATTAAATTTCTCACATACTTCATTCACAGCATCTATGTCGATAACAGATGAATCTTGCTCGACAGGTGATGGAAACAAATATGACGGTAAATCTTTTTGGAACCATTCATGTTTTCTAGAATTGAAAAATATTAGACATAACAGCAATATATTATAGCAATTAAAAGAAAATATATAATTCAACATACTTAATATCTTCGATAGTAGCTCTCTTCATCGGGTCTACTTGTAACATGTGGCACAAAAGGCTTACAACGCTCTTGTTTAAATACTCCGGAATAGGAAAGACACCAGCTGAAGAATTAAAAAAATATTCTAATTAATTGTTCTAATTAATTGTTGCTGTTTCAAATGTCTGCACAAAAACATACACATGTCGATTATTCTTAGTAATTATTCTTATAGTAATTATTCTTAGTAATTATTCTATATAGTAATTATTCTTTGTCGAAAAGTTAACTTACATTTAATTTTGCGGAAGAGAGTAGGAACGTGCTCATCGTCGAATGGCAAGGTACCACAAAGTAGCGCGTACAATATAACACCACAAGACCAAATATCGACTTCGGGACCGGCGTATAATTTACCGGATATCACTTCTGGCGCAGCATAATTGGGTGAACCGCATGACGTACGTAAGAACTCGCCATCCATCATCATGTTCGACAGACCTTATTTTTTGTATCAAAATATTTTAATAAATAATAAATATTTTATTATCTATGCGTAACATAAGTGTCGATATACGAATTATATTCAATTACCAAAGTCTGCAATTTTCACATGGAGATTATGATCTAACAATAGATTTTCTGGCTTTAGGTCACGATGTACTATCATATGTCGATGACAATAATCGACACCTGATATAATCTGTTGGAAAAATCGTCGCGCTTCGTATTCTTTGAGCTTGCCATGTTTAACGATATAATCAAACAGTTCCCCTCCCGAGACATATTCCATTATCATGAATATATCTGTAGGAGTACTTATGACCTGATACCTATTTATGAAATATATGAATATATATGTTAAGATTTATATGTAAGCTATTTAAGAGTCAAATATAGAAGATAATCTTTTTTTTAACTAATATCTTTTTTTTCAAAATTGAATTCATCAAAATTTATTTTAAATTTTCAAAATAGTAGTTGATGATTTATCTATGAGATTCTACGTGAATAAAATTAAAATTTTTGAATTCATACTTACAACTTAATGATATGAGGATGTCTGAAGAGCTTGAGATTTTGTATTTCTCTGCGAATTTTGCCCACAACATCTAGGCTTTTAATCTTTTGACGATTCAAGATCTTCACAGCAACTTTATGTTTTGTCAGAACATGTTCCCCAACTATTGAATTATAAAATTTATAATTTCAATAAAGCAATAGTATAAAGAAAGATTTGTGCTATACATATATATGTACATACTTTTTACTTTGCCAAATGTGCCTACGCCTAAGGTTTGGCCTAGAGTATAATGGCCTATTTTAACAATAGGCTGTGGTTGATTACTTGGGACTTTTTCAGACATCTTTAATCAGTCACTATATAATTCAACAAGAATTATTATCGGTCTTAATGTTATGTTACATCCTTAAAATAAATTGTAATGGCTGCCGAATTGCAAGTTGAAGGAAATCCATTAAAAGGCTGGAAAATTCAGGATTTCAGAAGAGCTATATTACATCCTTTCACTTTGTACACCTTATTGCCCATTGTGGCAGCTTCATGGTAGCATAACTGATAAGAATATCAAATAGAAATGTAACTGACATATTTTTAGCAATTAAAATTTTAATATACCAAATTATCAGAGAGAATTATTTTTTTTTGATAAAATTTTCCTAATCAAATTTCCTAATCAAATCGAAAATGAATGTTGCAGTATATGTTACAAATTTTGTCAACAAGATTATAATAGAATCTAACTACAGATTGACTCCAAAAATTTAACAAAAATTCATTTAACAGAATAACCATTTAAATGATATATTTCATTTAAGTAATTACAAAATGTTAAATTCTTTTTAATTTCTGCTGGCAAAATAGACTTATTATAAACTTATTATAGACGCTTATTATAGAGCTTATTATAAATGCAATTCGTAATATCAGTCTATTGCAATATTCTGCTTAAATCTGTTAGAAAACATAGACCAATTTTTTATTGCTGTACTGATCATGACATTGTACTAAAATTTTCTTTCTTGTTTTCACTAAATTTTGAACAAATATTCTATTTTATTTGAAGTATAACAAATATACACTTATTAGTAATTAAGCTATAAAAACAGATCTCATTTTTATTTGTGTTGATTTCTTAACATTACGTGTGTATGTATATATGTGTGTGTGTGTGTGTGTGTGTGTGTGTGTGTGTGTGTGTGTGTGTGGTGTGTGTATGTGTGTGTGTGTATGTATACGTGCAAATGTTTTTGTCAGCACAAATCTCATATTTGATTAGGAGTTATATACACAGACAATATACACAGCTCTAATATTAATTTGCATAGACTTAACAGGATAAAGAGAAAATCATTGTCTTTAGTCTAAATTTATGATTATTACAGCAATTTTAAAAATGTGAGTGTCAGATAAGGAAATCATTTGTTATATTGTGACAGATGTAATTATATTTGCCTATAAGACTCAGTTTACATAAAAATAATTTCTTTGCACGAAAAACTTGTAGCGAAAAGTTTTGTGTAAAATTTTGTGTAAAAGCGTAGAAATTTTGATCTTACAAAAACGCGCAGTTAAAATGGCACGAAACAGTTTCAGTCACCTGACACTATTTACATGCCTCTAGATTTCTTATCATGCAGGTATATGTTATATCTGTCAATTTTTTATCAACTTGTATGATCTGCTCGAAGTGGATAATGATAGAGGACATATTTTTTACATTATGTAACTACGTAAAAAATATTGAGAAATAATTGCAGATACAGTGGGTTCGTCCATTACAAACATTAATACTTCGTGTTTCGCGATCACTCACAATTAAGAATCGTTAGGGACAAGCAGGTATAACGAAACCAGACGGAATGATTCTTGAAGATATTTAGAATACTACAGATAGCAGGACTTCCAATCTCGGAAAATAAACTCTGCTTTGCGAGGTGTACGTTATGTCAATCACGATTGAATTCTTCGTATTCTCGACACGCCCCCTAACCCCTTTGCCACTTCCCATACTAA